GTTGGCATTTGATGACGTTAAATTAGACGTGGTGGAAATATATTATTTTTTACTTTATAAACGAGTATCATTACAAGATATTTGCTTAAACTTTTTACATTGAGCTATTTTTAATTTGCTAAGCATATGTCTAATTGGAGTATATTTATCTTTATTCAGTATTATTCTCATGCACTTAATTTGTAAAATTTGTTAGTCTTTCAAAAATGGAATTATTTGCTAAAGATAGAATAGTTGAACAGCACAAGAAATTTGGAAGAATAATAGTATTATACATAATTTTTCTGCTATATGAACTCCATTGTCCAGAAACTCTTGATAAATATCCCACTTTACTACTAATCTTATTTATAACTTTTTCATAATGAATATCAAAAATTAATCAAGAGTCAACAAAAATCCCAAGGTATTTGAAATTTTCTATGAATTCAATATCTTCACCATCAATGTTTAGTTGATTACATTACAGAGTACATTGTTTTAAGCCATATGATGTAAATGCTAAGCAAGCTATAATGGTATATTCAACAAGTGATTCTTCAATTTTACTTTGAATTTTGTCAAACTTTTCTGGCCTTTTATCTCTGAATATGTCTTATTATATTCAATCAACCCTTGACAGATTTATAGCAGATGTTATACTTTTTGGTCATTAAATTGAAGTCATCTTTATCTCTAGTATTATGTAAATGATGGTTGGCATTTGATGACGTTAAATTAGGCGTGGTGGAAATATATTATTTTTTACTTTATAAATGAGTATCATTACAAGATATTTGCTTAAACTTTTTACATTGCGCTATTTTTAATTTGCTAAGCATATGTCTAATTGGAGTATATTTATCTTTATTCAGTATTATTCTCATGCACTTAATTTGTAAAATTTGTTAGTCTTTCAAAAATGGAATTATTTGCTAAAGATAGAATAGTTGAACAGCACAAGAAATTTGGAAGAATGATAGTATTATACATAATTTTTCTGCTATATGAAGTCCGTTGTCCAGAAACTCTTGATAAATATCCCACTTTACTACTAATCTTATTTATAACTTTTTCATAATGAATATCAAAAATTAATCAAGAGTCAACAAAAATCCCAAGGTATTTGAAATTTTCTATGAATTCAATATCTTCACCATCAATGTTTAGTTGATTACATTACAGAGTACATTGTTTTTTTTTTCGATTAACATAGCTTTCGTTTTACTTGTATTCAATTTGAGTGTGTTAGATGCCATTTTGAAACAAGGTACCAGTCTGAACATTTTTAGTAATTATATAAATCAAAGTCTCATCGGCGAAAATTTTAATTTTGCATTTTTTTACTATGGCAGGTAAATCGATTATGTATAAAATAAAAAGTGGTTCCAGAATACTGCCCTATGGAACAACTAATGTATTTTCAATTTTTGTTGAGTGTTATCAACTTATGTAACTTGCATCCTTTTAGACAAATAAGCTGTACTATTTGTAAACAAGTTACAATTATTGTAGGAACAAGTACATTTTTTTAAAATACAAAAAGTCTGACTACAGTTACTGATAAAAGTGAATGTTCAATTGTACTATCCTGAGCTGTTTCCGGTGGTTTTTGGTTTAAACTGCTCCAGAAACAATGCATGAGAATACAAGTGCAGTGGAATGGTATTGGTGCTGAGCACTACTGAGTTAGTCAGAATAACTGAATTAGGTCACTGGAAAGCAGCTAATATGAATCATAGAACACCTCAAATGTCAAAATCTCTTGGTCTGTAAATTAGATTACTTTTTTCATATATGACTTAAAATGTCATTTTGAGTAATAGTCTAATCAAAATAGCAAATTTCCCCGAAATAATTGTAAAATCTTGTTTTATTGGTGCAAGTTGTTCAAGGGGATATTCAAAACATGGACACATAAAATGGGTACACCAATTTTTGTGAGAAAACTTTTTATTTGACAACAAAGAATGAGAAAACGTGTTTTTTGGGATTCAATCAAAAGTGTTGACAGGAACGAAAAAGCTTTTCATATAAGATTTTTAGGTATTTATGAGTCCTACAAAATGAGACCACACGTAAAAAGATCCGACTAATTGCAAAAATGTTATGGCCGAAAAACGAGGCAAAAAATAACATTTATCTTTTGGAATGGTTTGCGATTCATATCGGCAAGGTAAACCAGTGTATTTTGCTATAAAATGCCCTTTGAAGTAACCCTGTATATTGCTCAATAAACTAGTAGTGATCGCCAGAAAGCACATGCTTTGGGATAAACAATTAGAAAATCTCAAAGACTACTTGAACAATCTACTCCAATTTTGTTGTGGTTGTTTAGAAGTACAGATCCTACAAATTTGAAGAATTCCAAATATGAATGAGAAACCATCGTCATATTACCAACAAGTGCCAAAACCGCAGTTTGCCTGGGTTTTCGGTGACAACATTTTTGCTATTCATCGGATCTTTTTACGTGTAGGTCTCATAAATACCCAAAAATCTTATATGAACTTTTTGTTCCTGTCAACACACTTCGATTGAATCCCAAAAAAAAAACGAGTTGTCATTCTTTGTTGCCAAATAAAAAGTTTTCCCACAAAAATTGATGTACCCATTTTATGCTACTATGTTTTGAATACCCCCTAGAACAACTTGCAGCAATAAAACCAAACTTTACAATTATTTCGCAAACCAAGGTATTTTCGTCTGATTAGACTATAACATATTCAATGTCTGTAACGAATTTTTATACATGTCTCCCCTATAATACCATAATGAAATAAGAGACACAACTAACAATGTATCAATATGCAAAATTGTATTTACAGATAAGCATTCCCTGAGCTGATAAGATGTATTACTAGTTTTCCAGATATATTCCAATGGTAATTAACTTGCTTATTCCATTTTAGATTTTGGTCAATGATTATATGTAAATACTTGAATTGATCAACTTCTTTTATAGGTTATTTTAAACCTTTTATGTCTATATTCCTAATTTTTGGTCTATTTGTATCTCTTATAGAAAAAGCAATATAGGTTCTCTTATCAATATTCAAAAACAGGCGATGCACATTTAGCCAGTTAGATACTTTTGCAATACCATCCTTTTTAGTCCATAATTTGCCTTGAAAAATTGTAGCCGTCTCATCTTTCAATTGTGTATATATAAAAAATATTTATTTGATGATATGAGCACAACACAATTTGTAGCGTCTATAGCTAGCTTGTTTTGGAATTTGTGCTAGATATACATTATTGACATTATGGAATGTAAATACTGTTTGTTTCTTTTGTAAATTCTTCCACATGAAAATGATTTGGATGATTCAACACAAAATTATTTACTACTAATTATAAACATCTCTAATATAACTCGCTAGATCTAAGTCTTTCTGCACTGTGTGTAACTGAAAAATTGGCAAAAATTGCCTTGGACTACCTCTACACTGAAGCAACAATATCAGATAATACTTAGCTAAAGGATAGAAGTATCATTATAAGAGCGAAATACATTTTATATCTTAATTATAAATTATTTATTTACAAGTATAATGAATAAACTATAGATTAAGCATTGAAAATGCACAAGTGCCATTCACCAAAGCAAACAGCAAAGTCTATCTAGCAATTAGCAAACCCATACATGTTTAGTCTCTGTTTAAACAGGCTTAAAATCAAAGATAAGGAAATCCAATGAACTACTTGCTGGATCTAATCAATAGCAACAAAGAGCTGAAGAAATAAGCATAGCATCAATTTAGAATAAACTATAATAATGTAGCGGAAAACCTAACATAATTAGGTTTGACTTGGGCTGTTTCCAAACATGGATGACCTTCATAATTCGCTCAATACTTCAAGGTTTTTCGCGAAGGCAGAAAACTACCGCACTTACCTCAGCCGTAGCTTCTGAGATTAACGCATCCAACGCAGTAGCTGTCAATTCTGAGCAACTGTTCGCCGAAAAATCGGCATCGCCGGCCGCACTTCCCGCGCTCTCAACGGCCTCGGTTTCTGCCGGGGCCTCCGTCGTGCATAGAGCGTCGCTTTTTTCGTCCATTGTGAACCAACTTGCGCAATGTCAACCTTCAAAAATGAACGATGTAAAGTTTGAATTGGTACGAGCATTCCGCAAAATTATATGAGATATCAAAGGTTATAGAGTATTTTTTGTATTTAGCGCCATAAAAATAGTCAAATTTCAAATCATCACATCTCCCTAATTTATCGTACCACGGCAAGATGGCTGGTTCCACAAACCTATCGAAGTCGAATTCTGAGTGGACGTCTCGTGAAAATTTTTTTGCTAACTTATATGCTGAGCTCAAATACGTATATTGGGGTTACGTTTGATGTATATTTTGAGAATAATGGGTTGAAATTTACCTTATTTCACGAGTTTTATCGAAAGTTTCACCACAAGCGTTCCAAACATAGCGATAGTGCTGCCACGTTGACGGATCGACGGATGTTGACGGATAGCGTCAACTTGAACGCAAAAAAACAGCATTGGCGGGAATATTTGAATGTTGCATCTGATCATGTGGAGAAGTACAACTGGGAATAGGGAATAACAAACAAATTTAATAATTTCACTGACTAAAATTAAAGGAAAATAAATATAACATTTATATTTGAAAACCTGCGGGGAAAATTAACAGTTTGAATATTATTAGAAAAACATCCTAGTAGACTGATTTTTAGGAATGTATTGGTGTAACTGGTTAATTAAAAATATAATAAGATATAATAAGAACATAAATGTACTACATACTGTGAGAAAGGGAATATGAAATTACCTTATTTTCGCTAAAAAGGAGTTAACTGGCGGATAGGTAAGTATGAAAATTAGCTAACGTTCTACCCCCGCAAAAATTGACTTGTAACGCATGAGCCAAGCTCCTGCTCAATGCTGATACAAAATTGATAATATTTGTTAACCTCCTTGCCCTTAACTTCAATGTTTTGGTTTGTTTTGTTCTTGACTAGATGGTAAAGAAAAAGAGTGGGAGTGGAGGGAAACATGGTCACGGGACCAGCCATCCCTTTGGTGATTGGCGTTTTGCTTTGTGACATAGATGACGTTTGTGTTGTGATCTAGTGATGGGCAATACGGTTCGAAATAGGAAAGGATTCGCGGTTGTAGGGGTGCTTTGAAATAGTACTAAAAATAATGCATTGGCAGCTATTACTATGCCTTCGATTTGGTTTTTGAGTATCATACTTTGTACAAGAATATTGACAAAATCTTATTGAACATCAGATTTTAACATCGAACGTCAGCCCATCTTTGGTAGATCGAGGTTGAGTCACCAAAAGTGACAGTGACAGATGTGTCAGTGCTCATCCACCTCACCTGAAGATTAACGGATTCTCTCACTTTGATATATTTCATCTGATTCAAGTAGCATTTGTGGATAATAAAAACTATATAGTTCCCTTGGATTGTGCCGCATTTAGCTGATTTTGTACTATAACAAAAAATGGCCGATCCTAAATACGCTGACCTACCTGGAATAGTATGTTTATCTTGCATATCTCAGGTTTCTTGCTCCAATTTTACCTAAAATGTAGTCCTAGAACAAAAATGATATGATTTTCTGTTCATAATTTTAGGCCCATGATGAGCCAGATGTATACGAAACCACAGACCTCCCTGAATCTGAGCAAGCTGCAGATTTCTATGAAGATGAGGAAGACCCTGTGGAAAGGATTCATATCTCTAGTGATGATGCATTCAAAAAGTTCAAAGACAAGTACTTGAGTGCTGAGAATATTGATTTCTCTTCAAGAATTCGTAGCAGAAGATGTACTGGTTATGATGCTAGACATGGAGATTGGGAACTAGGTATTTAACAATCAGCAAAATGTTTGAACGAGGGTTATACTTCAAAATATGCTTTTTGTCCTGTTTATAGAATGTAACCTTTTTATAACATATACTAATACTATCTGACTGGAAATGATTGATTGTACCTGTTTTGTGAATAACAGTCCATCAGTTCCCAAATATTTGAGCATTTCCAGACTTCAGAATAACCCTTTATAAATGAAATCAAAAATACTGTGCTGCTGATAACTGTGTTGTGTATAACTTACATTAATGACTTGTTTAACTTCCTGTTAAGCTGATAACATGACATTAATTAGCAAGCAACTATGTGTATTTGGACTAGAAGCAAAATTGGCTGAGAGTAAATTAAAGGCTGAGTTGTGATCAACTCATAATCATCTGCATGACTCATTTTTTTTTCTTTTGAGCTAAAAATACCACTTTAATATCAGTAGACACACCAAGTCGCAAAATTAAACGACTAATGGCTGAAAACATGCACAGTATAGACTGAAAACAGAGTTTAAAAAAAGTACATAATAGCTTTACACTTAATTTTGAAATATATCCCATTGTGATTAAAAAAATGCCTTATATTTCTATGTTATTTTCAATCCAATGCACATATAAAGTCACACATAGTAGTCAAATTAATTTGTCTGTCTATGAGATGTAAAAAATATTACACCCAAAAAATATTTTAAAAGAATGATTATGAATATAACACCCAGAAAATGACTGAAACTTTGAAATTGGACCTCTGTAAACAATGTTCTTGCTGCTCCAAAAATTTAAATATTTTACAACAAAAAAAAAATTAAAACATTTAAACATATGGAAAATACTTTTAATTCTATAGTTTAAAGTACATACTGCCTAGTAAAAAGCTATTTTTTTCTAGTGGGTCCTGGAGAAAAAGAGACCCCAGTACAAAAGTACAATAGATTACAATGTGAGATGAGAGAACTCCTTGAAGAAGTGAAAGATTTAGAAAACAATAAAAAGGGAGAAGATGCAGATTGTGTAGTATCCACAACAAAAGTAGAGCAAGCATTGAAGCAACTAGCAGATCTGAAGTTAGAAGAAACACTAGGAGAGGAGATTGTTGCCCAAATATCTGATCCACAGGGCGCTGAAGTCAAGTATGTTTCATTTTTAAATAAATTTATTATGTAGTGGTCAAAATGGACTAGGGTACTGTTCCAGTTATTTTGGTGCACCTCTAACTTAGTTGATATCTGGATTCATATGAAAATTATTACAGGAAATTAATATCACAATTGGAGCAGTTCAAGGCAAGTATCCATGAGAAGCCAGAGTCTGAATCACAATCTGAAGCTGATGGAATTGTGTACCAGTTCAGCTACAGGCCTGAGCAGGCACGACTTGCTCAGACAACAAGATTGGCAGAGCTAGAGAGTAGATTGAATCGCTTAGAAACTGTGCTGGGCTGCTCTACTGACAAACTATCTAGGTTAACATCAGCAACTAAAAAAGGTATGAATTTACAACATCTAGTATAAGCAGAGTAGTTGAAAAAACTGGAATGACAAAAAAGAAAAATTTATTAAGAATATTTTTAATATATTGTCACCTTTGAAAAATAGAAAACCCAGCATCAACTATGTGCCTAGCCTATCACTTTCCATATTATCTGTTACAGATTACAAAAAAGTATGGTAGATGTATTTTTGCAGTAGAAGGCAGTGTAATGGTTTAAAGCATATAAAATATCAAGGGATGAGATTATGTGTCAAAATATAGAATTTTGAAAAATAACCGACCTCCGTCATAACCTTACCCTTTAATATTTTTTCTGTTAATAAAATACACAAGTCAAAAAAATTTAGGGAACAAAAAAAAGTTTTCTGTGATCTTTGACAAGTTGTATTTTGGTGAAACATGGTCGTAGATATCTATGCACCAAATGATCGCATCAAGATTTTAAAGACAGGAAATTATAGCTGAATAAATGGTCTAACAGAAAAAAATTCTTCATGCCGGTGGACTAAAAAGAATAAAAAAGTTTTGCAAAAAAATGTTCTTGTGTTATCTGAATTTCATGAGAACCGAAAATTTTTGGCTAAAAAACCTGCAAACTGGCTTTTAATTGCTTTTTTTAGAGTCTAGATACCACCATTTTTCACCAAAATACTGCCTGTCAAATATCATCTAAAAATTTGAAGTTTTTTATTGCTCCCTTAATTTTTTTGAGTAGTGTTTATGAAGAAAAACAATAATACTCATAATAAAAAATTATATCCTGTCACTGACAACTGTGCAACAGGTTGCAGAGATATTCACGGTATTCCTGCGGCAAAGCAGAATGTTGATGACACAGACACCTATAGTGTAATTTGTAAAAAAATATATTTCAGGAAGCTTGATGGAAGTAGCGGAACAGCTAAGTGCTACAGCCAGTATGTTAGACTCATCTCAGTTAGATCATATTGAAGGTAGACTAGGAGCATTGGCGCAAAAGTTGGAAGGCATCACAGAGAAAAAGAAGCAGGTTCAACAGGATGATGAAAAGGATAAAATGGTAAGAAGTAATATTTTGTTCAATTAAAGCCAATGCCTATAATGAATGTCTTCAATGGTTCCCATTACTCAGATAATTCTAATACCGCTTCTGTGCAACATTACAAGGAATAATTGTTGAGACATCTATACCTTCAAGCTCAGTCTAAATGGGTTTTGAGACAAAAAATAAAATTGAAGTGAATTGTTACTATATTTTCGGTTTCACATTTTATTTATTAGCTTCTCCGAGCTCAAACTGTAATAGTTTATCACTACGATAAATAAAAGTCACGACCATGGCAGCATTAAGTGTATAGTCGTGACTTCTATGGTTGCAACTATTTTGAACTGTGGCACTCCTCTGACTACATAACTTCCAATCTGTTTCGTCTATATTTTTAGTTAACTTACATGATTCATGACAAATCTTTCCCAACTAACACATGTTACAAGTAGATATAAATAATTCAGATATCGTAATCACTGTTTTAACCTGATTTGCTCATCCAAAACCAGGAAACCTACAATAAAACCGGGTTTACAATACCACTTTGCCTACCAACTGTTTTGATATAAGATAGTGCTACATATCTTAAACAAGAGCTAGTATTGTCAAAGTCAATAAAACCTACTGATTTTCTAAGGAATTAAAGAATGTGTCATGATCATGACAGAAGAAAGGACGATAACTTTCCCGGCATGTGTTAATCCCCGGAACACAGCAAAGCGTTTTAAAAATAACATCCGAAAAATAAAAAACAAACGTGAAATCGTACACGCACGTGTATTTAACACCAATACACTTACCTATCTATAAATGGGATAGTTTTAGAATAGAAAATAGGTTACTACATGATGACATAAATCTGACAACGGCGCGTGACTTTCCTTTAGAGTTGATGTCATTTATATTTCAGCAAAGTTACATGATATACTCACAAGTCGTGACCAAAAATGAAACATCATATACAGGACCTCATTTTAAGGGGGTCATCTATGTAACATTTTTTCCTTGAGGCCTTCATTAAAAAGATGTTGAAGTTTAAAAATAAAAAACACTTTTTTTTAATATCTCCAAATAAAAATAGTACGCCACTGTTTTGTTTTTCGAAACGCGCAACTTTTAGAATTTTACGTTCAATTTGCTGCCAATAATTACTTTTGTGTTTTTTCCTAGAGTGCATTGTTTTCGTGAAAATAAGAAAAAAAAGATAAATCAAAGCTTTATTTCAATAAATGTTCAAAAAGACCGCCATTCTGACGGATACAAGTGCGGCATCTAGAACGTATTTCCGCAAAATTTATTGTGGCTTGAATTTAATGAAACGCATTATCTATTCTTTCTTGTAACTGATCAACAGTATTAATTTTATTCTGCATACACTAGTTGTTTAAAAGCACCCCACAAAAAGAAATCCAGGGGGTTCAAATCAGGAGATCTCGCAGGAAAATGTACGGGTCCGTTTCTGCCAATCCATCGTTGCCTAAAATGATTCTTTAACCATGCGGTTATGTCACGACGAAGATTTATAATATTATGGTTTTAATGTAGTTTATATTATCACCTCTTTCAGATATTGGAGCTATTTGAACTAGTGAAGAAAAATGAAGCCACTCTTGCATCAATTCCACAAGTGATTAACAGACTCAAATCACTAAATGAACTTCATAGTAAAGGTATGTCTCCATTTACCAATTTAATATTTTTTACTTATTTGCTCATACTTGATTGCAGCTACAGATTTTGTGAAGACCCTGACAGAAATCGAAGTGGCACAAGCAGAAATCACTGGCAACATTGAGAACAATAAAACGTTGCTAAAAGGTGTGCAAGAAAGCTTTGCAACTAGTCTTAATGAGATTAATTCTACTGTGCAAAATCTGGATTCTAGGATCAAAGCTTTAAAGAAAAAATAAGTTAATTGTAGGCAAGATTGCAATATTTCATTCTAATTATTCTTTTTTTACACAAGCTTCTCTATAATACACTTGCATTGATATTGGTATGTCTACATAACTAAATAATGCTATACATTTGAAATAAATATATTTATTATTGTACTTTTTAGTTTATTGTCTCCTATTCCCAAAATACGTGAACTTTTTGATATAGGACTGAAGGTAAGGGTGATCAAAAAGTGCAGCAGTTCTCAACTTAACTAACAATACGGTCATCAGATTCGGATAATGCTTTTACGGAAATAAACATCAGCTCTACAATGTTGCCGTCACTTGGCCATTCAGATAATGTTGATAGTATAATCATATTAGCAAATTTTCCTGAAATAAAGTCTGGTTTTATTGATGCAAGTTGTTAAAGGGGGTATTTAAAACATGGGCGCATAAAATGGGTACACCAATGTTTGTGGGAAAACCTAATTGTTTGTCCCAAAACACCTGTTTTCCGGCCATCACAACTAGTTTATTGAGCAATATACAGGGTTCGTTCAAAGAGCATTTAATAGCAATATACACGTGTTCACTTTGACGATATGAATCACAAACCATTCCGAAAGATAAAAGTCATTTGTTTATGCGAAAAACAAAGGTTACGTTTTGTCACCCTAAGCAAATTCAAACATTTCGTATTTGTGAGTAACTGCAAATACGCTACAATATTCGAAAAACATACGTTACTGTACATATTTTAAAACAAGGCGGATGTCTCTATCATCTTTTGTTTCGATTTACTCACAAACAAGAAATGTTGGAATTCGTTTAGAAGAAAAAACGTAACCCACTAGTACTTATTAAATATATCTATAACATAAAATGCACGACTTCATATTAAAAAGACAAACGTGGCTGCAAAGGGTTAACTTGTAACCAAAATCAAAAGAGTAAAAAAGAGATGCATAATATGGATGTGCCAAGTATTAACTAAATATTTAAATAATAGTAATAGAGGGTGCTAAAGAAAGAACACATATTTCTTAACAACATTTATAAAAATACATAAATACTATACTTATATATTATGAGTGAGTTATTTGGAATGTGTCCAAGTTTGTGGCACATCCAGGACATGTATGAAGAGTCTCATGTACAAATATGTCACAGTCTATGCAAAATACCTTCTTGCAATTTGGACAGTCGTAAACCTGGAAAAAAATGGCCAAATACACTCATATGTAGAAAACTACTAAAACGGCTAATAACCATAGAAGTTGATGCCGTTAATAAAAAAAACTGCTAATAATAATTATTTTAGTCTTATATTGTGCGACTTGTGGATAGTAAATAAATTACTGTTTCATGAGCATTTTGAATACAGTATTTCAAAAACATCAAAAAAGATAAATTACTTCTATAGAGTTTCCCATAATCTTAGTGTGTATTCCAAAAACATTGTGTATAACACTATAATTCTTCCCCATTTTTTATATTGTTCAACCATCTTGCTTTCAGCAAATGAAAACATATTTTAAAAATTACAAATTCTACAAAATAAAGCTATGAGAATAAATTAAAAAAAAAACAAATATGCTAGGAATAAGTCTATATTGGAAGCACTAGAGCGGTTGAATGTAATGTAAAAAATTTATTAAATGTTATTTGGTTCTCATTTTCATATTCAAATTAAAAATCATTTATTTCCACCACATTTAAAAAACGTCACAAAATGAAATAGTCAGTATTGTAACTACAAAACTAAAAAGGGAGTATTTGAATTTAATAAATTTAAGCTGAAATTAAAAAATTACTTTATGAATACTCAAAATACATAGTGATGTAATATAAAATTACAGAAAATGGATTAAAAATGTGTAAACGAATTATACAAAATTGACATTGTGGCATTAATGCTAAATAAATATTCGACAAACAAACTTTTTATTTGGAAAACGATGTAATGTGGGTCTCCCTTGATTGAAGGCAAAGTATGAAGAGGGCCAAACCCTGTTATTTTTAAACCTTCAAGCTTGGATTAAATTTGATCAGAAATGTCAGCATTTGCAAGGATGTGACCAGCAATCCCTCTATTGATGGTCGATTAGACCAAAAATGCTGTACCTTTGTTAGAAATTCGAGATGTCGGGGACTTTCGGCTTAGTGTAGCAAATATTCGTTGAAATTGGGATATTGTTGTTACCTGTTTATCAGCATCTCCAAATGGTCTCTGGCACCCATAGCAAATGGCAACTTGGTTCTGGAACTGAACCTCCGCATAGTTGGCAGCAGGAAAGAGGTGGTGGTACGACCTAGCGAGATGGGGCGCGGAGACTAACGTGAGACCGCATGCCCTGCATTCCACTGGCAGTTCGCAATATTTGCTGTAGCACTGAGGACAATAGTAGCCGCCTGTTGTCAGCTTACTGCTATCTTCCATATTGTCTACGTGACTAAAACATAAGATAGATTTTATGGGACCTAAATTGAATATTGGACGTAAGTGCGAATTTTTAAACAATTCAAGCGGCCCCAAAGTAGAAGCATCGGCATCAAGTAACCTATTCCAAACTTCACTCAGAAATGTATGCATTTGATACCAAGTTTGGGTCACAAAGGTTACAGCTTTGATTTTCTCAGTTTCAATTAAAAAAATGCATGTGGCGTTTCTATTAAGCCATAAAACAACTTTTTTTTTATACGGACAATCACAACATCCATAGCCAAGAGAAAAATTTCTCTAGGGACGGGATTCGAACCTGCACAGCGTACGACGACTGATCAGGAGACCGAAGAGTCTACTACTGCGGCCACCGCTGCTGCTCGAATTTGAAACTGATTATCGTATTCAATGGTTGTACATAAGAAAAGAGCTGAGGGCGTACTTAATGAAAGATAGTAAAAGATTCTCACCACATGCACATTGTGAGCGGTTCTTCAGCAGCATCTGCGTCCCTATCTATTTGGTGCGGGAAACCCATCTTGATCAAACTGGACTCCAGTGAAACAGCTGCTGGTGGTGGTTCCACATGTTGCATCAACAGGTCCCTGAAGTGCGCGTCGTCCAGGATAACATTGTAGATGCCACCACTGTGGTTGGCCAGCTGCCTGCAAATGTGCACCTCGGCTGCCAGTCCGATCACAGAGCACCGAACTCCTTCACTCTTCAAGTTCTATTGACATTAAAAACGTTTATATAATCTAGTATCTGATAACCGTAGTATATCACGGTGGTATTCAGTTTCCTTTCTAACTATTGGTACGATGATAGCTCCTGTTCTCAACCCGAAAAGAGTTAAAAATATGCAAATACCCATTTTGCTCCCCAAAGAATACTTATACACAGTCTGTCTGACTATCTGAAATCAATATTGGATTCCCAACTGATTAAAAGGAATGAAGCTATAAAATTACCTCTATTGTCAGATGGATGTCTCCAGGATCACAGGTTGTCAGACTTCCCATAATAACCAAGATCTCCCTACTAGCATGAGATGGGAGCAATTTCAATGATGATAACGCCATTTCCAAGCCATTTTGTAAGGATGGCTCTCCAACAAGTGAACTTTGGTTTAGAGTTTTTAATATCCTAGTATGTTTCTTGTAATTACCAGCTAAATCACTGATTTTTTCGGATCTCTTGTTGTGCATTATTATGATGCCCATTTGACTTATTGGGTTTTGATCAAAGAATTCCTCTAGGAATATTTCTAGGAGCTGGAAATTATAAAGGGTGTTACAGGATATTCTACCGAAAGTTTGAGGACAATTGTGAAAAAAAGTCATATACAAAAGGTTCTAAAATTTCCCATTTATGGAGCATTTAAACACTACGTTCATGTTTATATGTATTGCATGCCACTGGTTTTTGCTAAAATAAGTGTGACATTCTTAATGCCATATCTGTAAAGCATCTCTTGTAGTTGTTCATTGTTTCTTAAAAAAACTACTCAATACCATTTTTTAATAACAAACAGGTCAATATGCACTGATAATATTTTTTTTAAATGATGTATTTAAACGAAATTATCCAAAAGGCAAAGTTTAAGTAGAATTTTTTCAAGAAATTTGAGGTGAACTATCAAAAGACAAACAAGCTTAATCACCCTGTATTATGGAAACACATTTTGTACTCGGATTGTATCCGGTACTCGGCCCATTTTAGTAATAATAAAAATAATCTTTATTCCAACATGTTTGCACCAAATTACATGAACATTAAAATATTACACATCAAGTTCTATAAATACTCTTGTGTATAAGAGTTTATTTCACAAAATCCATTTAAAATATGAATGAAAGACATTATTACAGGAAATAAATACATAAAAATGAACATGAACGACTGCAAAATTGTCACAAAAAATATATCTAAAAATTACAGCTCTACCTGAATGGTATCAATATTGATATGGCATTGTTGACAATAAGTGTCAAACACTTCACACATCCTTTTCACAGGAGACAATACATGTCCAATATGTTGGTTCTACTCCTAATGCTATAAAAAGTTGCATAAGAATAAGTTGATCTTTTTGGCACCACAAAATTTATTTTAGATAATAATTTTGTGCAATCAAGGTTATTGTTAACCAGACTATGGAGCACCCTAATGCCATTTTAATTGTCGCCGGTAAACCAATGCACCAAAATTCATGAGTTGAAGAAGCATATTGTGTGGGAAGCCTTTTCGAGGATGTAAACCATAAACTTTGAAATGGATGTATTTCAGGTTCTTACGCTGGACTATTCAATCGCTGAAATTACATTCTGATAAATCGGCTACCCTGACCAGTTTCTGACACGGTATCCTAATATTTTATTAGCTGAGACCATTCCTCTTATATGGTCATAGAACGTCAAATATTACCCCTAGGTCTTTGAATGTCTGGCATCTCTAAATTGGTGTCATCAATGCAGTAAGCAAACAGAATAGGATTGAGCTTGCAAATAAAGCTAAAAATATTACATTTTGCTATGTTTATATTTATTTTGTTAGCTACTCAACCTATTGTGACCTTGCTGCAATTCCATACAATCATTGGTATTTTATCAAGTACCCGTTTTTGCCGAGTATTAAATTACAAGGCCGGGAAATTACTTGGTCTAAACATAAGACACACAACTTGTAGATTGTAGATGCGATGTACAAAGCTCAAAATACCTTTCCC